GCCACCAGCGGGTAACCCTGCTGCACGACCACGACTACCAGACTGGTCACGGTTCGATGTACAAACCAGTCTACACACTTTGCGAAGCCTAGACCCCAGCGTGGTAGCACGCGAGTTGCGGAAGCTACACTCGCGCTGGTTCCACGCGAAAGAGCCCAAGGCAAAACTCATCTTAGGCAAGATAGGTCTGGACAGGGTCGGACTCAACCTGATTAAAAGTGGCTGCGGCACATGTTGGGGACGCAGAGCTTGGGACAAGCCTGGGCATACCGTTATGCCCCCTACTGCACGACCTGGCAAACTTATTGAAGAAGTGGAATGTGATCTGATGTTCTACAAATCAGAACACGATATCTTTCATATCATCGGTCGTTGTATACGATATGCTACTGGGATTGAGGTACCAGACAAGACTATGACAACTATCCTGGATGCATATCATCAGTGCTGGATGCAGTTTGGACCCGCGAAGGTAGTCTACTCTGACGGAGAGGGTGCCCTTAACAACGACGCTGCGAAAGCAATCCTCAAGGCAAAAGGCACTGAACTTAGGATACGTGCGCGTGGACAGCACGCGGCAACGCTCGTGACCAGGAATGGTATTCTACGCCATCTACTTCACTCCAGGGAAGCTGAACTCAACTGGCTGGATATACCTTTTTTGTTCACCCGACTACTGCACGAGGCCTTGTTTGCCGCCAGCGCGTTCGGCTTTTTTTTATAGCGAGGTGTCACCATATAACGCTCTGTTTGGACGGCAGCCAGCAATGCTTCCTGACCTACCCGTCCTGGACCACGAGAAGCCGACGGAAACGTCGGACCATTCTCGTGAGCAGACGATGCGCAGGGTATGTATAGAAGCTAACACACAGGCCACAGCAGTAGCTAAGACCATTCGTGCCTTACGCACTAAAACGACTACTACTGGTCAGCACTATTATGATGAAGGAGCCTTGGTCGATTATCATCGCCCCACGACCACGAAGGATGATTGGGAAGGCTGGAATGGCCCGTTCCCAATGGTAAAGAATGATTTCGAAAAGGGGTCAGGTCATCATCCGAGCGGGCAATCGAGATGTTCAAGTACAATACGGCGGTGCAAGACATTCCTTATACATTGAAGCACTGATGGCCCGAGAGATTGGCGCCGACAACACTGCACCACGCACAGTGTTAATATTCGTAGCCAGCCTATCGGCGGGGAGACCTGATCTGACCTTTGGCTATGTAGCGACCAAGAAAGGGACGCTTCAGATGACGATTGCAAGCCGTCTATCTCCCAAGGTACACTTAGCGTTACAGTACCTTATCAGAAACTTCTTCCGTATTGAGAATGTAGTTTCAGTCAGGCTATCCAAGAGTATAATGCATGAGCTGCCTCCGGTAACTTATGCCGACAGCTGCACATTGGTCCACTACGACAACGACGTGAATCCAGGATTCCATTATTATGAAGCAGAAGGTATTGCTCTGAATATACACGATATAACTGGATCAGCACATTCGAGAATTGTTCAGTGCCTGAAGTCCACTAAGCCTCAAGCAGGTTGTGATCAGGACATGTCAAGATTTGAGGATTTGGCAGATACACCGACACCGGAGGGAACCACAAGAGAAGCCTCAGAAGCCGAACCATGATGATGGGCGGCTTTCTACGGTTCACGAAGAATCAGAGGCTGACCTCGAGTCGCATGGTATGGAAATGCGGCATGCAGAACTACGAAAGGAAAAAGGAACTGCTGGAGGCAACTCCACCAGATAACCTCTTCACCATATCTACACACATGGTTCCAGATCAAAGTGCGCTGATCGCTGTAGCTGATGAACAGCGGGCACACCTGCCGAAGTGGGGACGCACTCGCGACTCCGATGCCGAGGAGACGTACTACGTCCCAGTGTGCACCATGGTCGAAGACGTCAACTACGGACTGGACTCAGATAGCAATGGTCGATCTGTCGAACTCTGCTTTACGGCAGAGATGTCAACGGTAGTCCTGTCCGAACAACAACACGTGGTACTAGATGCCGACCGGGTGACCACTATGCGAGTACGCGCAACCGCCGCTGCAAAGCGAGCTGTGGTCGTCAAGGAAGACGACCTCCTCGCGAAAGCTGACATCCCGGCGAATCCCGATAAAGTATAGAAGGCCCTCTACACGGAACTCAAGACATGCTACGACAACAAGTGTTTTAATATGCAATATATAGCTAAAGCGTCGAACATCATGACTTCGATATACGATTGCGAATGGAAGTTCGTGAAGAATGAGAAGGGCGAGATGCAACCCACCATCGGACTACGCTTGTTTCTCCGAGGCATCATGGACCTTGGAGCCATCGACGTAGAGACATTTTCGGGAATGGCGCGACTGTCAAGCCAGAGGCTACTCGCTAGCACGGCAGCGTGCAAGAAGCAATGGACCATTGTTTCCCTCGACATCAACATGGCCTTCCTGAAGGGACTGACCTATGAGGAACTTGCTGAGGCTACTGGTGAAAAAGGAACGTGTGGTGTGTTTTACTCTGCCGCCTGGATCGGCCACAGCGCTCCGACCTCTCCCAGGGTTCGAGCACTACTATGAGTCAAAGCACTGCCTACAGTGCTTGAAACCAGGCACAGGCACCAAAGACGCACCACGGGCTTTCTCACTGAAGCTCAGAAGGACCACCAGAGGTTTCGGTATCCGACCCACGTCCGACGACGAGGAGTTCGAGACGAGCAACATGTTGCTCACGGCCAAGCATGTTGATGACATCAATATGACCGGCACTGAGGACACCATTGACAAGTATGTTAAGTGCGTAGAAGATACCTCTGGTAAGTGTGAACTCAACAAGCACACATGCACCAACTGCGCTGTGAGATACATCAAAGATGAGGGCGCCAATGTCACGTTGGACCAATATGAATACATCAAACAGCTCCGTCCAATACAACATCCTGAACTGACCGGCGCCGACGCCGACGCTCAGGCAACCGAGATGGTTGCAGAGACGTTCGCCAGCCTCAGGGGTGCGCTGGCGCATGCATTAATCACCCAGGTGTGGTTGATGGTGCATGTTCTTTCTCTACAACGTGTCCAAGAACCGGCCGACACCCAAGTGCGACGACTGAACGTGATCACCAGGAAGCTACAGGCCTGCCCAAAGAAGATCGTCTACCAGGCGATGAGTCCTACGGGCGAGGTCGACCTGCGGAGCGACTCAGGATACCGACGCCTGAGTGGAGACGCCGACGACGACGTCAAAGGCTATGGTATTCGCGCGGCAAACCTGCTACGACGTGGAAACACGTCAGGGCACTGCAAGTCTCATCGCTTGCAGGTCCGCTCGAGCTATTCAGCAGAGACACTAGCAGCAGCCCATAATTTGGAGGACTGTCATCCCACGATTGGGTCTCTGCACGAGCTCCACGCAGGGCCGCTTACGCCCACTCAGTTGAAAGATATATTTGAGTTGGGTGGCCTGATCATCGAGGTCACCTTGGCCATAGATGCTGAGTATGTTGTTAAGTCCTTGTCAAGCAAAGGTTTGAAGAAGCCGATTGAGTGTACCCTTTTCAGGACACATCAGTTGGATACGACAGATCATGGAGCGTGGAATCGTGCACAGCATCCAGCGGTGCGACACCCGCGATATGATTTCGGATGGTCACACCAAGGGGAGCATCGATAGAGAAATGCTCCTACAAGTCATGGGAGGTATACAGGCCTTCAAGCATGACCTGAAGAGACATACTCCATATCGGGCCGGCCAGACATCAATTTTGACGCCGCCTGATGAGTACGTCAAGTACAGAACTGCACAAGCGAGGCAACTTGCGAACGGGTCCACCTTCCTTTTGGCCCGCTTCCTCTTCTGTCCTTGTGTACATCAGCTGCTGTGCCTGCTCTATAGGGGCGACGGGCTCACGCTTCGTCTCCCTCCCCCCGAATATAAAGCGAGCTGAGGGACGCAAGGAGTGGAAGCGAGCGTGCGCCCGCGGCCGCGTCCGCTCAAGCGGCCGGCCGCCCAAATATGACTCTGCCTCACTTCGAGGCACACAATCGTTATCGAGACCAAAAGGATCTTCCTATTGCCTAAGATGGCACATCCTCTCCTAGTGGGACGATCGTTACTACGGCACAACAGAGCTGGAGCTTGGCTTCGCCTAAGGCGAAGCTGTTGGCTGGGCCTCCCAGCCCCCTTCACTTTTGTTGGGAGCATACTGGCGGTCCTTGGGGGGAGGGCTCGACATGTCAGTCTGGGTGTTCCATCTTGGGCCCCTCTTGGGCCCTCTTGTGGGCCTCTTGGGCAATGTTGGGGTCTTGGGGCACTATTGGGTGGCAGGCGTGGCACTCTCTCTAGACACCACAGGAGGTGCGCAGGGGGTGTGGGCGCGTTCCGTTTTAGGCCCGCGAAGAGTGGCAGGCGTGGCGCTTCTTCGACACCGCAAGGGTGTGAGCTCGAGGTAAAAGCGCCGTCCGCTTCGGGCCCGCAGAGCGTGGCAGGCTTTGCATTTTCTCGACACCACAAAGGGGGATCATTCGAACTGCCGCCGCCATTTGCGAGACCGCGGGACAGAGAGAAACATTGGCGGCTGCACCTGTACGCTTTGTTCAGCAGAGCCATTTGCATGGATAGTCTGGTCTTGACACGGCCGGCGCCGCGGGAGCTTGCAGAAAGGCCTGCGTTCATCTGTGGCGAAAGCTCCCGACAAGCATAACACGCGGATGGCGCAAGAGGCGCGGGGGATGGCAGATTTCGCTCTGGAACGCAAATTGTTCTCTGGCGGCGCTAGGTCGCCAAAGTGCACGGACCTGTGCACGCTTGCATGGCAACACCGACAGCGAGTTCGATTCAAAATGGGCAGCGCCCGCGGCAACACCGACAGCGAGCCCGAGCCCAATTGGGCACGAAGTGTTGTTGGTATCGGTGCCCACTCTTTCCGTACCCTTGTCGATCGCACCGGCCAGAGCTGTCCAAGGCTTCCGCGCGCGAGTCCCGGCCGGACCGCGCAGGAGGCGGGCAACACGATCTTCGCCGCGATCTTCGCCGTGGAGGCTGGCCAGGGCGCCTGTCCGAGGGCTCGCCTTCCCTCTCCGCCCCTGAGGCGGTCCACGCCCCGCGTCGCTGGACATGCTGGCGGCGGGGAAGAAACGCGACGGGAGGCTTTTAGCAGTTTTCGGACCCTGGAGGCCCTCGCCTGGCCCCAGGACCGTCAGAGAACGACTCGGGATGAGTCGGCAGCCTTGGGGTCGGGACATCCGGGGGCCCCTTATTGAGATCAAGATATCGCATGTCTGAGTTCAGAACATGCCCCTCTTCTCGGCCCCCAGCCCAAACCGCTTTCTGAATCATTGCCATTGCCCTGCTCCCAGTGCCCGCCTTGGCATCGCGTCCTCTGATGCTCAGGCCAGTTGCAGAGCTGACGTGACGAGGCGGAAGCCTCCCTAGTCACGTTTAGTAGTCGACCAGAGGGATGGCACAGGTGTATGACCCGCACGGGGGTGCACGGAGTATTGCAGTCGAGGGCCTGTTCATAGCAAGACGGATGTGTTCCCCATCACGAGATTGAAGTACCTTCCTCCTGCGCCTTCTCTTTCCTATCCTGCCTGTCGCATTCCGCAGCGTTTGTCTCGGTCCCCCCTTGGTTCTCGCCTTTACCTCGTCTTCTTCCCCTCAGTCTTATCGTCCCTATCCTGCTTCCTCCTCCTCCCCTACTGCTACTGCTCTTCCCGATGTTCTTATCTCGTCCTCGTCCTCGCCATATCGTTACCCTCCTCCTGGTCGTCGCTCTCCTCCTCATGATCCTTCTCCTCGTCCTTCTTCTCTCCTCCCCTTTTGCTGCTCCCACCCCTACAGTCAAAAACCCTAATAAGGACGCGCGACTTTGTTCAGGGTTACCCTTGCGTCCTTGCTCTTCCTTGCTCTTGCGTCCTTGAGGTTTTCGTCGTCCGCCGCCCCAAAATCCCAACTTCGGCTTCCAAGGGTCATGCGTCCTTGCCGCGCGTCCTTATTAGGGTTTTTGACTGTAACCGTCCGCGTCTCGGTAAGATCGACGATTCGATTACCATTGCTTCGTCAGATTGCCGCCTTCTGTCTTCCCGATTCCTCCACCTGCCGCCACCCGGCACCCAACAGCGGAGGCCGTCCTGAAGTTGATCGCGATCCGCCTGCACTACTTCCTCGATCCGTGGAACCGCTTCGACTTTGTGTGCGTCCTGGCGAGCTTCGTCGGCGCTCGGGGGCATCTCCAACGCCCACGATGCCCGACGATACGATGGGTCCGATCCCGGCGTCGTCCCTCGATGTTCTGGCACTGGGAGCCCATGATCGGGCCGCGGGACCATCACGCATCGACGCGGGGCAAAAGACTGCCCCTGGGTGAGAGGTCGGGACTTCTGTCAGGAGGGGAACAAAAACACAGACACAATTAATCGTCGATTCCCCAGAACATATGGGAAAATATTGGAAGTGGGGGGGAAGACAGAAGCCCAGAGAATATGTGAACATATGGGGAATATGTTTATTTGTGTGTATTTATTTGTGTGTCCTGGGGCCCCTTCATTCTGGGGCAGCACACTGGGAGACAAAACGACGCATCGCCGGATGTCGGGGCCCAAAGCACGGCCTCGGCGAGGCCCGCCTTGGGCGCTGGGGGATTCGCCGGGCGCTCGGCCGCTCGCCGCCGCGCGGGGCCTTCTCGGCCGAGCTCCCGGGCCTCCTGGAGGCATCCGGCATCTCGTGTTCCTCCTTGGCGGCTGCGCTGCGGTGGGGGAGGTGAGAAGGAGCGGGAGGAAGCGAACGAGGCAGGGAAGGGGAGGGGAGGATGGTAAGGAGGTGGAGGAGGAGTATGAGCGAGCAGGGGTAAGGGGAGGAGGAGAGGGAGGAGCAGGAGAAGGGGAGGAAGGGACTAGGAGGACGAGGGAGGCAGGGGAGGAATACGAAAGTGAGATTTTGGATGAGAAGCAAGAGCAGCTCGAGGAGAGGACCGGGAGGACGAAGATGGAAGGGAGGAGGCCGCGGCCATTCATCGACGAATTCTCTTTTGGTCACGTCGACCCCTCTTGCTTGTGTTTGTGTACCTCCCCAGGTATCGCCTCTGGCGCAGGACCTGCCGAATCCCACTTTGCATCTGCATGCCGCGCGCGCTCTTTCTGGATGAGGAACAAGAGGACGAATTACCGTCGAAGAGGGCGGAGGAAGACGGTGTGATAGCTTTGAAGAGGAAAACCGACCAGGTGCCCTCTGCCTGAGGCAAGTGGTGCAAGGATCGTAAACAAATGCGGCTGCAGGGTGCGGAGCCAACCTGCTGGACCCCAAGTACACCTTCTTCATATGTCAAACCGTTATACAGAAACTAAGTAATCGTTGGCATGCACTCATACAAGAATTGTTGCTCCCACGATGGCAGCCCAGAAACCGAGTTCGCCAGAACGTATAATGGACACACCGTACAGGGAACATATCAAATCATAATAATCATACGCAAATGGTCAGCGATGCAGAGCTGCAGGCATCAGCCGAGGAGAATACGAGAGATGGCGAGGTGGCCATACTCGGAGAGGAGGTTGGAGCCTATGGCTTTCGTTACCCAGCGCTCACCGCCGTTGCGATTAATTTGCCCCGTCGAGGCCTGTATACCATCATTATGTTTGCTTCCCCGCTGAAAAGTTTGCTGAAGATTTCTATTCGAAGGCATCACAAGACGATTCCGTTGAACAGCCTACTGGGAGCTTCTATTGGAAAATATTGGAAAGCATCACAAACGAATCTTTTTGGAAAGCACAGCAAAGAGATTCTACGTGCTTGCAACAGGAATCCGCTGGGAATGAATACCAAGGGTTTCTATCGGAAGGCCTCATAGTCGGAGCCGTTTGGGAAGCACTGCTGAGGGCTTCTATTGGAAAACACCACAAGAGGAAATCCTTTGGAAAGCGCCTGTTAGACACAATCGTACGTGGAATCCTTTCGAAAGCGCTCCAGAGGAACCCTGTGGGGAAAACCTTACAACTGGAATCCTGTGGAAAGGAATCTAAAACACTGTATCGGAAGGCTTCACAAAAAAGAGATCCTTTGGACAACACAAAACGAGGTTGTACTGGAGTGCCCGCAACAGGAATCCTTCGGAAATCACCCCACATGGTTTCTATGGCCTCGCAACAGGAATCCGCCGGGAACCAACAATTCTATTGAAAACATCGTGAGCGAAATCGTGTAGGAAGCATTGCTGGGGGTTTCTATTGGGAGACATCACAAGAGGAAACCTTTGTACAGCACAGAATTATTAGATTGGAAAGCCCCGGGGCTTGGAATACTGCAAAATTCTACACAGGAAATCCACTGTATGGCCTCACAACAGGGATCCTTTGGAAAGCGCTGTCTAACAGCACGCTTCTGTTAGGAACAGTCATAGTTGGACTCTTGTGGAAAGCGCACCAGAAGGATTCTATCGGAACAGACAACTGGAACCCTTTGAAAAAAGGAATCTAACAGGTTTTATCGGGCGGCCTCGCAATAGAGATCCGTTGGACAGCGCAACAAGAGCAGCACGAAGGGCTCCTACTGGAAAGCATGACAGGAGGAATGCTTTGGAAAACGATACGACGGGCTCCTTTTGGAAAGTGTCACACATGTAATCCTTTGGGAAGCCGGACAAAAAAGAACCCATCGGAGAGCACCACGGAGGGATTCCAATGGAAGGCTTCACACCGGAACATTTTTTGTAAGCGCTACTGAGGGCTCCTATGGGGAAGCCGCACAAAATGGAATCCATCGGAAAGCACCATAGAGGGATTCCACAACAGGAATCCTTTCCACGAAGGGATTACACTAGAAATCCTCAATGGAAATCGTTTGGGAATCACCACGCGGAGATTCGATTGGGAGGCATTGCAACAGGAACATTTTGGAAAGCACCACACAGATATTCGATTGGAAAGCTTCACAATCGGAATCCATTGGAACGTACCACGCAGAGATTATGATGGAAAGCCTCACAACAGGAATCCTCTGGACAGCATTACAAAGGCATTATGTTGGAAACCGTCACGGTGGGAATCCTTTGGAAAGCAGCACAGGGGGGCTTTATTGGAAAACCTCACATCGGAAAGCTTGCTTGAAATCACCACTGAAGGCTCCTAATGGGAAGCCGCACAAACGGGAATCCATCGGAAAGCACCACAAGAGAATTCAGACGGGAAGCCTCACAACAAGAATCCCTTGGATAGCGCCGCAGAGGGATTCGATGTGGAAAGTTTCATGACAGGACTCCTTTGGAAAGCACCACACAGAGATTAGAATGGAAAGCCTCGCAACAAGGGTCTTTTGGAGAGCGCCACAGAGGGATTCTACGGAAAATCCGCACAGTGGGAATCCGTTGGATCGCACCGCAAATGGGTTCTATCGGACAGCATCACAACAGGAACCTTTTTGGAAAGCACCACAAGAATATCCCACAGGGAAGCATCACGAAGGGAATCTATTGCAAAGTGCCACGCAGGGATTCGATTGGAAAGCGTCACAATCGAAATCCACTGGGAAGCACACAGGGAGATTCTTTTGGACAGCCTCACAACAGGAATTCTTTGGAAAGCACCACAACGGCAACATCGGAAACCGTCACAGTTGGAATCTGTTGTAAAGTGCCACAAAGGGGAGTCTATAGGGAATCAGTACATTAGGGTTTCTGGAAACTGTCACAACAGTGATGATATTGTAATGGCCTCCGGCCAGTGCCGCCGATCCAGGGCGCTCCCGATGCGTGTGGGAACGGACGATGACGACGACGACGACCGACGACCGGGTCAACGACGGACGATGATGACGACGACGACCGACGACGACGATGACGACGACGACGACGACGACGACGACGAGGACATCGACGACGACGACGACGACAACGTCGATGACGACGACGACGACGACGACGACGACGACGACGACGACGACGACGACGACGACGACGACGACGGACGACGAGGACGACGGACGACCGACGACGGACGACTGACGGGTGACGATTGAGGACTGATGGCGAATGGCGGTCGACGGCCGACCGTCCCCGCTCGAGCTTCCTCCTTGGACCCCCCCTCCCCGCTTGAGATCGACCCCCCCCCCGTCCTCGCTCGAGCTCCCCCCCTTCCCCGACCCCTCCCCCGACCCGCCCCCCCCGTCCCCGCTCGAGCTTCCTCCTTGGACCTCCCCCCCCCGCTTGAGCTCGACCCCTCCCCTCCGTTCTCCCTCGCTCGAGCTCCCCCCCCCCTCGATTCTTGGACCCCCCCCCCCCGCTGCCCTTCCGGTTTCTTGGACCCCCCCCTCCCGCTTGAGCTCGACCCCATCCCCCGTCCCCGCTCGAGCTTCCTCCTTGGACCCCCCCCCCGCTTGAGCTCGACCCCCCCCCGTCCTCGCTCGAGCTCCCCCCCCCCCCCTCGATTCTTGACCCCCCCCCCCGCTGCCCTCCCGGTTTCTTGGACCCCCCCCGCCCCCGCTTGAGCTCGACCCCCCTCCCCCGTCCCCGCTCGAGCTTCTCCTTGGACCCCCCCCCCGCTTGAGCTCGACCCCCCCCCCCGTCCTCGCTCGAGCTCCCCCCCCTCGATTCTTGGACCCCCCCCCCGCGCTGGAGCGTTCAGTGAATTGCGTGGATACTTCGCCGGATCCCGACCCCCCCCCAGAGCGAAGCTTGAGCGAGCTCAAGCCCACGCTCTCAGAAACTCACACGCCGGATCGGCGGATTGGAACGCCTCTCAGCAGGAATCCATTGGAATTCACCCCAAAGGGATTGTATTGGGAATTCGCACATTGGGGCTCCGTTGGGGAGCGCCGCGAAGGATGTTTTTTCTCCCCCCCGAGAAAAAAACTAATTACTCACTGCGTGGAGCTCCCCATATGTGCATCTCATGTTTTATGTCATGCCGTGGTGAGCGTCTGTTCATGAGCGGTCGACTACAATAGCGCGTCCACGTGGGCGACAGGGCCGACGAAGACGAGTGACCCCTAATGCGAGTGATTGCGTATGAGTCAGAGTGAGCTTTGAGTACGGTTGAATGCGAGCCTCTTCCTCTTCATCCCCCCTCCTCAGCTGCCAGGCCTTCCCCTTTTCAGCCCGTGGTAGCTTTGGAGCTTCCCACATGTGCATATGTTGTAGGATAGTTGGCAGTGGGATATGTAAGACGAGCGTTTAGCCACACAAGGCCATAAGTGCATGTCATGTTGGAGGATAGTGCCACGGTGAGCATTTCCAAC